TCTGGGCAGCTGTCTGAGAGTGAATGGGACGTCACACTAGGGGATTCCCCGGGACATTCATTGTTTTATTTTCATCTGTTGGTTCATGTGATTTTCTTTTGTTATATTTTATTTGCACATTACTCTAGTTCAATTTATTTCCATTGGTCACATTTTCTTGATTTTCTATATGTGTTTTTTCATTTTCTTTGGTCATGGAATGAATATTGGTCACTCATTAGGTCACTTGCTTATTAAGAAATAATTATAATGATTACATTGAAAAAATATATATAATGTAAGAATAACAAAACACACACACCACATTCAACATTCATTTACTCATTCAACATTTTATTTCATTTGAATACATACATCCTCACATACATACGTCACTGCTTCATGGGGCTTCGTTCACACTTCGACTCGCACACTCATTCACTCCTAGCAGTCATCATCATCATCATCATCTTAAGGGACTAACCCTGACGGGGGCGCATAGCCACATCCACCCTTTGTTTCCACCTACGAGGATCCCTCATGGCAAGACACCAGGCAGGGACTCGGCCCATCTCGACTTCTTAACAACAGGTTTGGTCGATCTGCCCAAGCCACGACTTCCTAGGTCGTCCTACAGGCCTCCTCCACCCAGGGTTGTCTCGAACAGAGACAACCTGATGGGCAGGATCATCCTGAGGAAAGCGAGCCAGGTGACCATATAGCCGGAGTTGGCGATCACAGATTGTGCAGATAACAGGTCATGTGCCAATCTCACGGTGCAACCGTTGGTTGGACACATGGTCCCACCAACAGTACCCATGATCCGGCGCAAGGACCTTTTACAAATGGCTTCAAGCCGCGCCTCCAAGGCACAGGATGATGTCCAGGTTTCACTACCGTATAGCAAAACTGGCATTATCAGGGCCTTGAAAACCCATAGCTTGGTCCTTCTGCACAGGTACCGACATCTGATGCCAGGCCAATCCATCTGCTGACTTATGAACTACACTACTAAGGTATGTAAAGCTCTCTGTGACTTCACTGTCCTCACCACAAGCACGTACTGACTGAACAAGTTCTCCTAACAAGTCCCCAAAGTCCTGGACCTTGGTCTTGGTCCAAGAGACCTCTAGACCCAAGGGTTTTGCTTCATTGCTAAATGCATCCAGAGCCACTACTAAGGTTTCCAGACTTAGATAGAATAGCAACATCATAAGCAAAGTCAAGGTCTGTAACCTTGAAATTGCCCAGCATTGCTCCACAATGACTTTGAATAGTAGCTCTGCCCAGTATCCAGTCCATGCAAGTGTTGAACTAACAGGAAAGAAGCATACAGACTTGCTATTAGTCCAATAATCCTTGTTGGAATTCCTCTGTCTCAAGATCTCCCAGAGTGATTCCCGATGCACCATATTGAATGCCTTCTTGAGGTTGATGTAGGCTGCAACCATCCCATGCCCGAACTCATGGTGGCGTTCTACAATGACTCGAAGTGCAAGGATACTGTATTGTGGACTTACCAGGAGTGAATCGGGATTGCTCTGGTCTCTGGTGCCTTAGTAGATGGTCTCTAATACGTCACAGAAGGATGTGGGCGAGAACCTTGCCTGTTATACTGAGCAGTGTGATGCCTAGGTGATTGTTGCAGTCCCATCGGTCCCCCTACCCCTTCCAGAGAGGGATGACCACACCCCTCAACAGGTTAGAAGGAACGGTACTGGACCGCCAGATGGCAGCCTGGACAGCATGTAACCTCCGCGCCATAGGTTCACCACCAGCCTTTAATAGTTCAGCTGTTATGCCGCAGATACCTGCTGCTTTACCATTCTTCAGCTTAGAGATTGCCCCCTAACTTCAGTTAGGGAGGGAGGATCCTCATTGGTTTGTGGGATCTCGGCACTGCCCGTATCCAAGTTAACTGTTGGTGCATCAGCCTGATACAACTGTTCAAAATACTCAGCCCAACGTTCCCACACAGCAACAGGATCTGAAATGATCTGACCAATTACTAAGCGAACTGCTGTCACCTGTGAAGAGGGCATGGAGTTCAGCTTTCTCAGGGCTTGGTATGCAGGACAAAGGTCATTTACTAAGAAATGGCCTTCTACCTCCTCTGCAAGACTCCTAATAAACTAACTGTTTCTTGTCCCTTCTTAACAGAGACCGAGTTCTGCGCACACGAGAATGGTGCAAATCCCGATCCCCTGTCAGACGAGCCGTACGGCAAGCATCTGTGGCTTCCAGTGTCTCATGCAAGATGAAATTCTGTATTGCCCTTGGGCGTGCACCAATTGTCTCTTGAGCTGCATCAAGTGTTTCATGCTTGAAGGTATCCCACAGAAGAAGAGGGTCTGTCAGACTGTCGAGCATTGTGAAACGACCAGAGATTGCCTCAGCAAACCCACGGACACACTCCCCTGTCCAAATGAAACACCCTGGGGTTATCATTGGACTGCTGGGGAGTTTTGAAGTGAACCCTGAGGGTAGCCACAACCAATCTATGGTCAGTACCATAGAATGC